GCGGCAATTTCGACTGCTTCATCAGCGCGCGCACCTTCGTCATTAGCGTGCGGTTCGTCCGCTCAGCTACGCCCTGCTGCTGGTGCGCGTAGGGGAGAGAAATGTGGTGCTCGATCCCCTTTTGTGTGAGGTAGGTTTGCATCTGGTTGCTCCTGAATTCTGCCGCGCCGTCAGATTGCCAGATTTTCAGCTTCTTCCCAGACTGTCGCTCTGCGTGCGCCAGCCAGAGGCGAAACACCTCGTAGGCTCTGTCCCGTGACTCTACGTTCACGACCCACACGTAGCGCGTTCCAGCGTCGATGAAGGTGAGCGTGTACATTTCGTCCTCGGCTCCGCAATGCCCCACGTTCAGGAAATCGCTGTACACCTTGTGTAGCTTGGGGTAGCGGTTCGTTCCAGGTTCGAGCAGCGGGAACGGTTGGTGGCTCAGCGCAGCTTCGGGGCAGACGGTGCAGTTGTGCGGATGTGTCGCGCCTCTCACTTCGGAGCCATCAGGGCGCAGGAGTGCGCTAGGAGCGAAGACGCCTGCGTCGATGCAGTTTTTCAGCGTCGCACGTGAAGGGTGTCCGAGGCGCTGGTGCCAGAGAGTATCGTCAGCGCGAAAGCCGGAGGTGCGTATGTAGCATGCGCGTGCTTCCTCAGGGTCTTCGTCAGGTACAGGAGCAGGTTCTGCTGCTACTCCCTCTGCTTCTTCTTCTTCCGGCGCGGTGGTCAGCATCAGCGCCAAGAACTCTCTGTCGCGAATCTCAGAGAGCAGAATGTTGGTCCCGGGGATGGTTCCAGGGACGAAGGTGGGTTCGCGTGGCTCAGGGGCAGGTCCGTAGACGGTGCGACGCGGGGTTGACGGCTCGTTGCCCCAGATGATGGTGTCCCATGGATCGCGACGCGGGGGGTTGTCAGGAGGAGGTGGTGCGAGTGGAATGTGACGCGGGGGACGCCCAAGAGGAACGACTGCAGGTGTTGCCTCAGTTTCATCCTCTCCCACCTTTCGTTCTTCGCGGAAAGTACCCCAGCCGCTATTGTTGGCGCTAGTTACGGCGCCCCATCCGCCGCTCGCGTTGGCCCGGGTTCCGCCGGTGTCTCCCCATCCTCCGGCGCTCCCCCACCCTCCTTCATTGGAGGCACTTTCTTCAGCCTCAGCTCCCCAGGTGGCGCAAGCGAAGGTCCCACGTGCTTCTGCGAGGCTTTGCTGGCGAAGCTCCTCAGCTTCGCGGCGTGCCAATTCTTCCTCTCGCTTCGCGGTGAGTTTCTTCGATGAGTCGCGTCGATGAGAGTAGATGGCCAGAAACCTCTCGTAGGTGTAGGGTCGCGGCTCGCCATGGGCATCAAAGGTGCCGACGCCAGTTCCGCGCAGCATGCCTTGAAGGTGCTATGAGGGGGGACCGATGAGGGGATGCTCTGGCATGCCGAAAATGCCGTGGGTAGTAACTTCAAGCTCGAGCTGCGACATCCCTTCCTCTGGGGGCGCGTGGCGCTCTGCTTCAGCGATGGCGGCGAGTCCGCGGCCGGCAATCGCGCTCGTTGATGTCGTCGGCGTGTAACAATCCCTCCAGATGCCATCTGGATCGGGGTTGTGTAACGCCGTTTCGCGTGGGTGGGGATGGTGCGGCACCCACGGTCTGCCGTCAGGGTGCTTCCAATCCCTGCGGTGGATGTGCTCGAAGCGCAGTGGCACAGAATCAATCAACTCGTGCGAGTCGCCGCTGCAGTCGGGAATGTCGAAATCTAGGACATACACTCCATTTTCGGAGTGCGCTCGTCCGATCTGCCTACGGGGAAATGTGTGTGATTCGTAGTGCAGCAGGATGTCTCGCGTCTCGCGATCCGTGCTGAGGTCGACGCCGCAGTCCATGAGCTGTGCGGCGGACAGGAGGTTGAAGCGCAGGTTCTGGACGATCAGCACATCGTTAAGCGTGATGTGCGTGCGGCTTCCACGTGCTTTGAGCACGACAATGCCTTGTGCGCTTGCGCGCAGGCGCGTGTTGTTCGCCACAGTGACGTAAGTGACTGTAGGGGTGGGGACGGCGTTGGATATGTAACGCACGGAGCCCACCATATGCTGGCCGCAGCAGCTGTCCAGGTACCAGGTGTTGTAGCGCTTGTTGTCGTCACGTGCGAGCAGCGCCAATCGCGGTGTGACGATGTGCGGGGTGTCGAACTTCAGAAATTGCTCGCGCGAGAGCCAATCAAGTGGCGCCACCCGCATGTCCGGTATGTGTGGGGGACTTTCAAGCAGCGGGACTGGGAGGTTCCAGTCCTGGTCGTCGTCGTCGTTGAAGACGCGGCGCGGGCTGAACGGGTTGTTGTTGGTGAACGCGTTGATGGGGTGCGGTGCTGGCTCAGGTGAGGGTGAGCGAACACGGCGACGACGTGACTCGCCTGTCATGGCCATGTTGCTCATGACGTTGCGCGTAGGGGCAGTTGATGGCTGCTGCTGCTGATGCTGAACGGTTGAGTTCAGATTGCGCGCGGGTGGGGGTTGATACCCTTGGGCTGGACGCACGTCGCCTCGTGCGTCTTGTCGGCCGGACCAGTTGCTCGGATTGGTCTGGCGAGGGCGAGATCGGAACTTACATCGATCCGCCAAATGCCCGAAGTTTCTGCAGATTTTGCAGTAGAGGCGCCGCGGTCGTCGCTCTTCGTTGTTGTCGGCGTAGAAGGCGAGCCGTTCACGTTCTCGTCGTGGCGCTGGTCGCTGCTGATCCATATCCCGTTGTTCGACGAGAAGGGCGGCGCAAAGGGCGGCCTCCGAGATGACCCCCTGCTGTTGGAGGAGCGCCTTGCAGGGCCGCCACTCTGGGCCAAGCCCTTGAAGCACAATGTTCACGAAGATTTCCTCGGAAATCGAGCTTCCCAACTTCACGATTTGATCGCGAAGGCTCCGACAGCGGTTGATGTAGCTGTTGACCTTCTCCCCTGAGGTAATCTTAGTTTCCAGCAGTTGCTGGAGTATTCGGCTCGAGGAGACGGAGTCCTTGGGCTGATACACGCCGTTCAGGTGGCGCCAAGCGTCGAGGGCTGGGGCAGCCGATGTCTTGTATGAACGAATGTTCAGCTGCTCCGCCGGCGACATGTTACGCAGAAGAATCCCGTACGCCATCAGGGACTCGTTATAATAGCGAGTCCTTGCGTCGTCGGTTTCCTCAGCAGGTCCCGAGTAGCTCCCGTCGAAATAATGATAAATCTGCGCGTTTTGCAGCAGCAGCTCCAGCTCAAAGCTCCAGGTGTAAAAGTCTCTGCCGTCAAAGCACACGCTTGTCTTTATTTTTGATATGCTCAAAAACCTTGATTGCGCGGAGAGAATTGCTTCATCGCTGGGACAGGGAGTCTTGGGAGTTGAGCCATTCGTATCTAGGGAGAAGCCTTGCGGGGCGGAGTTTTGGCCGTTTGGGGCCGGTTGAGTGGGTTGGGAAGAAGTTCCCGCATCGCCATTCCGCAATGTCTGGAGCCCTTGCTCCAGGCTCGTGAGTCGCTGAAGCAGTTGTGCGAGGACGGCGGAAGGAATCGTCGTCGTTTCCTCGTTTGTCGCAGCCGGGTTGGGCTGCGCTTCAGCCGTCAGATTCGTCTGACCTCCAGATCCTCCGGCCATTCTTACACGTGATCGTGTGCCGGACGCCACTTTCCGAATGTCGCAGATTTCGGAGATGGCGGTGCGAAGGATTCCTGAGTTGCTCTCATACCATGCTGCGATCAGAAGTTGATCGTGGCCTAGGATCTACTCAGGAAGGTTCGCACGCAGAGAAGTGATGTTGGTGGGCCCTTGACCTCAATAGCAGATTGAATGTAAATGCTTGAGATGAATAAAACATGCAAATACAGCAAATATAAATATGAGTACAGCGGAGATGAAACGACCTAGCTAGCCATGTACTCTAAGGGGTACATTCCCTTATTCAAATACATTCCCAACCGTGCGGCGCGAGCAGTTACGAAACTGTTCCCGCCGAGGCCATCCTGCCTGCAGCTGCCTGATGCTGTCTGCTCCGACGGTTCAGATGCGTCCCAACTGTCTGACGCTTCGAGTCGTTTCCAACCGTCTGACGCTTCACGTTCATTCGCGATACTGCGTGCTTCTCTTTGCTGCGGTGAGGAGTGCACAGTAATATTCAAGTATTACTATTCGTAACACACATTATATGTTTGGTGAGGTGGGAGGTTTAGAGGGGGTGTCAAAGTTGTATTCATTTTTGTTATCTAGCCTGTAGTAAGTTGCATGTTAGGTTGTACATCATTTCTCCCAATACTCTCTTTGTACCTCCCTCCTTTCACGTGTAGCAGTGCCGTGGTTCGCTGAAGGGGAGGGGGGGGGGAGGGGAAGGGGGGGGGGGGGTGTCTGCTTTACGAGGAGCTGGCTTGGCAGTCAAAATGTGTACAGTGTTTCATCAGCTAACATCGCACGATATGTATCCGTAATTCGCTACCGTTGTGAATCTGCAAGCAATTCCCTAGAAGCGTTCGTGTATACTGGTGTGCCACTGACAGTGGGTATGCGTGCTATTGTTCCTACCGAAACAGCTAATATCGCTGATTCGATTTTTTGATTGTCGTGCCGCGAATTTCCCGCGAATTCCACACACATGGCACATTTCCGCACCGTTTTCCAAGCGCGTGCGATGTGGATTTCATTCACGTTCGCAACTTCCTGGATACATTTGGATGCATTTCTGAAGCTTTTCAGTAGAAAACACTCAGAATGGTCATTTCTCTTCCTAAGAACACACTCGATCCTGAGTGAAGAGCAACCCGTTTCTCCAAATGGGGGAGCAAGTCCCATGGGATGGTCGGCAGAACAAATCCGTTTATGGTTGTATTTCAAGTACTCAGATCCGTCCATAAAGACAACAAAACAAGGTCTGAAAAAATGCTTTTCACCATTGAACGCGTTGAACCACAAGTAACTCCACTCGTTTTGAGTGAAAAGCAAACCTCATCGTCTGAAATCCTGTCTCCGAAGTAATTGCCAAACGCGTTTATTGTACAGAAAGTTCTCCAGGTAATATTTACGCCAGTAGCACGCCGTTGGCCTCGTTGATGGGTGGTAGCGTGTGGCCGTCGAACGCCGTGTAGAGGCAGTCGGCGGACATGACGCTGGACGTGCGGTAGTCCTTCACCTCGCCGTCCAGGTACCCTCGGCCCTCCACGCCGTCCGCCGCGAACGACCGCCGCAGCAGCACCGACAGCGACGTGTACTCCAACGCGCGTTTCCGCCGGCCCTCGCGGTACGTCTGCCCCATGATGCCGTGCATGGCGGGGGTGCGCTCCACGCTCGCGAAGTGCAGGTTGATGTGCGTCTGCGCGTCCGCCTCCGTCTGCAGCAGCGGGTGCGCGGGCCGCAGCTTCACGTCCAGCTTGATCAGCCCGTCCACCTCCAGCGAGTACGCGTCCACGTCGAAGAACCCGCCGCCCTGCTTCTCGTACCCCGTGAACGCCAGCGTCAGCCCGCCGGGCAGCGCGTACTTGCTGCCCACGGAGAGCAGCGGCAGCGCCTTGCCGTCGAACTCCATCGCTCCCATGTACCCCGCGCCGCGCGCCATCTCCTTGCCGTCGCGCGCAGCCATGCGGAACGAGTGCTTCACGCCCGCCGCGTCGATCCACAGAATGCCCAGCTCCTTGATCCACGTGCGCACCGCCTTGCCGCCCTTCAGGATCGACGCGCCGACCGTGCGGTCGTCGTAGTACCCGCGCATGCGCATGTTCACGTGGATTCGCGCGTCCGTGACGAGGCAGAAGCTCTTGTCGGGCAGCCCGTTGAAGTCGAACGATGTACCCTCCGCGCCCGTGAAGTGCGGGTCGTTGAGCGACGAAGGACACGGCCGCGCCACGCGGGTCACGTTCCACAGGATGCCCTCGGGTATGCACGTGGGAGGCGCCGCTAGCGGCGGGTAGATGTAGCACACGCCGCAGTTGGAGCAATCTGATCGTCTGCTCGGAGACACGGTGAGAAGAAAAACACGGTCAGGTCATCTGGCTTTCCCGGCGATTCACATCCACTCATCGTTCTTGAAAATAGCACAGGGTGGTCGTGGAAATGTAACTTACGGTTGGTAGAATTGCCAATAAGTGCACGTGCGGCGGCTGATGCACCGGTCGCAGCACGCTGGCAGGCTCATGCTGTCGTAGCAGTACAGGCGGCTCGTGCTGACGGCGTCATTGTACTCCTGCGGACACGTCGCATTCTGCAGAAACACGGGGAGTGAGTAGCGCGAGTACACGCCGACATTCCCCGAGTTGCACTTGGTTGTGCACTCGATTTCCTGCGCCGGTACGCACGGATCGCCCGTGGGGTTGTTGCTGCCTTGAGACCCGGTCGTGTTGTTGCTCGTCGACCCTTGGCCGTTGCCGTTCTGCGCGAAGGCATGCGACGCCACTGCCAGCACCAACACGATCGCAAGCAGCACTCTGAATCTCGTCATGCCGGGTGATGTGATCAATGCACCCGGGTGGAGCTGAAGAGAGTGGTCGACGATCAAAAGAAGAACACGTTTCAAGACGACGGAAACTTTGGTTGGGAGGATTCCAGGTTCGTGTGAGATACCAGGAGGATGGGCTAGAAGGATAAAAAGACCAGGGTAGTTGTACTAATAGTTTTGACAAGATAGCCACAAACTCGTGGGTGAGGAGAAGATTGTGTGAGATGTAGATGTGAGAGTCGAACGAGTTTATGTACAAAAACCATGTCATGCCCTGCACTACTTCTGCATTGCACGTAGTCAATCGGGATTCGCGAAACCCGTAGGTTGACTTCACGGACTTCGTGTGACCAAGTGTGCACTGTGTAACCAGAAACGTCTCTCGACTGTAGGATGTGGTGTACGTGTTCTCAGTAGAAATCTTGGCTAATGTGATTGTCTAGGTAGTACACCCAGTACTAAGACCCAGATGAGCAGTTCGGGAGTGACTCGGCTTTGATTCCATCTAGCCTTTTTCCAACTGAACTGTTTTCCCCTCCAGAACCCTTCCACATCCGCTTTCATGCGGTTTACCCCACACGATTTTTCTTCCAAGAATACCAGCAGTACTGAGGTATGGTTTAAAGTTCGCAAACTCTGCGCTCGAAGTACGGTGGAATTGCACTGCCCAAGCATGACTGACTACCCATTCAGGATTTTTGTCGGTGTCTGTCGAATTTCAGGATCTTGGTGGTTTGGAGAGGGGCAAGATACATTTGGCAGGATCCTTTGAGAGTTCCCTTTTATCAAAAAGAGGTTTACCGAACACCCTGCTCACAAGGGTGTTTCGGGGGCCCGCTATTTCAGACAACTGCGGAAGGGTTTCCTGGTGGCTGTATGAATGGTCTGGGAGTAGCTGCCAAAAAGAAGTTGTGAATTAGGAAATTGGAAAACTTCCGATTGACTCTGGTCGTGAGAATGACTCTGCATGTACAGTTAGACAGATTTCAGTTGTGATTTTGGATACAGTAAATGCTGGTACGGAATACACTACCGTTAAGTGCCACCACCGCTAATTCACTTCCTCCCGTCCCCTTTCTGCTTGCAAATTTGGTCGAAAAGTTGAGTTTCACTTCCGCCATCCCATGACTGGGGAAGGACGGGAAACCTCAGTCCTTCCCTTGACTATTCTGAGCCTCAGTCCAAGATACAGCCACATGACAGGCTTGCGCTTGTCGGAGATCGTGAGGTCTGTTGCCAACACCTTTGTTTCGGCCGAGTTGCCCAAGATGAAATGGATGAACAAATGACCCATATTGCGTAGGACAAGAAACCCCAACATGAAGTTTGTCATTTTCTGAATTCAGCAGTCATGTCAAGGGCTTGACCGACATCGTCAAGCAACATGACCAACACGAATGCTGGAATCTGGCACAGGTGCATCCTGTACAGCAGATTGTTCATTGGCTGGAAGAGAATCCTCGATAATAGCCGTACAATATACACTTATGCTGGATTTGAATGTCAAGCTCCCTTAATGACATGGAACAATACCGAAGATAGGATGGTGAATGAAGGAGTGACACCATGATTCTATCGGCGGTATGTGCCAGTTCTGCATGGTTAGATACGCGGTTGGGAGAGATATTTCAGCATCTCCTGGTGCCGGGAACTTGGGCTTGCAGAGACTACGTTCGCAATGCAAAATTTGACCATATTTTCCTCCACATACGCTTAGCGAGTTATAACATCCGTCGCATGGAGAGCATTGCCCCGGTTTTGGGTGCTCCTGCATACAATCCGCCCCCATTCTTTGCTCCCTCCCGGTGTGTGGCAAGACTTTCCGACAGAGCCAGGCGGGGGCATTGTCAAGTTTATATGCTATGGTCTGTCTAGGCTGTAGTGGGGTAGATACTATAGGGTACAACTTTTCTAGGTTTTCTACTTGTACCCACACCTCACTTAGTCAACTCATTCCTCGTTATTCTCACATGGTATAGAGCAGGTTCCCTAGTGGGAACGTTCGATTTTTTTTTTCCTGCCCGGAGCGCGCTTCGCTCCTGCCCGAGTCGCGCCACGTGTGCCTACCCTCCCGTCGCGTCCCCTGCCCTTAGCGGCCCGTCGCGCCCTCTTACGGCCCCTCGCGGCCCCTCTCACGGCCCTTCGCGGCCCCTTCGCGGCTCCCTCGCGGCCCCTCCGCCGCCCTTCGCGGCCCCTCTCACGGCCCTTCGCGGCCCCTTGCGGCCCCTCGCGGCCCCTTCGCGGCCCCTCGCGGCCCCTTCACGGCCTCGTCGCCGCCCTTCGCGGCCCCTTCGCGGCCCCTTCTCGGCCCCGTCGCCGCCCTTCGCGGCCCCTCACGGCCCCTTCTCGACCCCGTCGCCGTCCTTCGCGGCCCCTCACGGCTCCTTCTCGGCCCCGTCGCCGTCCTTCGCGGCCCCTTCACGGCCCTTCGTGGCCCCTTCGCCGCCCTTAGCGGCCCCCTTCTCGGCTCCTCCGCGGCCCCTTCTCGGCTCCTTCACGGCCCTGCCGCCCCGCCGTCGTCGCCCCATCAGCAGCAGCCGTCGCGCCGTCACAGCCGCCGCCACCACTGCCGGGGCCGCCGCCGCCGCTGCTGCCGACAGCAGGAGCCGCCGCCGCCGGTGCCGTGACAGCAGCAGCCGCCGCCGCCACCGACAGCAGCAGCCGCCGCCGCCGCCGACAGCAGCAGCCGCCGCCGCCGCTGCCGTGACAGCCACCGCCGTCGCTGCCGGAGCCGCGGCCGCCGCCGCCACCGCCCGTAGCAGCCGCCGCCGCCGCTGCCGTGACAGCCGCCGCCGCCGCTACCGGGGCCGCCGCAGCCGCCGCCGCCAACAGCAGGAGCCGCTGCAGCTGTCGCGGCCCTGTCCCTGCCGGCGCGCCTCGGCCCTGCCCCGCCACTTGCGGCACTCTACCCACCCGCCCTAATAAGAGCACCGCCGAGCCGCGCCTCTGCGACTGCGCTGCTCCTAGCCTGCTGCTACTGCCCCTAGCCTGCTGCTATTGCTGTCATGACTACCCCTAGCGTTCTCGTCTTTGATGCTGAGGGTCGGGCTGTCGACTTTGAGGTCTGGGTCGATGATCTGCAGCTTTTCCTACAGTGCGATAGGAAAGACGGTCTCTCACTGTTCGATCTCACGTCTGGCGCCTCTACTGCCCCTGCTGCCGATGCTGACAGCACTGTTCGCTCACAGTGGGCCACACGCGATGCTGCTGCCCGTCTTGCTGTGCGTAGTCACTTGCCGTCCTCTGAGCGCGCGCACTTTAGTCAGTACAAGAGTGCTAAGACCTTGTACGACGCTGTAGTTGCACGCTACTCTTCCCCTGCCACTGCTGCCCTTAGCCGCCTCATGCTGCCGTATCTGTTCCCTGACCTCGCCGCTTTTCCCACAGTCGCTGACCTCATTACGCACCTTCGCACTAGTGACACCCACTACCGCGCTGCACTTCCTGCTGAGTTCTGCGCCAAGAACCCCCCCCCCCATGTACATCACCCTCTACTACATAGTCACCCGGCTCCCTGACTCCCTTCGCTCGGTCAGGGACCACTTCCTCTCTGTTTGCCCCACAACACTCACCGTTGACCTCCTCGAGGAGCGCCTCCTGGCAGCTGAGAAGAGTATAGTCGCTGTAGGAGCCCCTCGTGGTGACCCTCGTTCCCCCTCCTTTGAGGTGTGCTCCCCCTCCCCCCTTTTGCCCTCTGTTGCCTCTGCTGCTGCCGTCGACTTCGTTGGCACCGAGTCGGTCGGCGCTGCGTCTGCCCCTAGCGGGAGATGCCGCACTGGCAAGGGCAAGGGGGGAAAGGGCGCTAGAGGGGCTGGCGGGGGCGGTGGAGGTGGCGGTGGAGGCCGCGGAGGGGTTGGGGGTGGCGGTGGGAGTGGTGGCGGGGGTGGGGGCTTCGGTGGCGGTGGCGGTGGTGGAGGCGGAGGCGGCGGCGGCGGTGGCGGTGGGAGCGGAGGAGGCGGCGGTGGCGGCGGTGGCGGAGGTGGCGGCGGAGGCGGTGGAGCTGGTCGGGGTGGCTCTACACAGCGGGGCGGCTTCGGTGGTGGTCAGCGCCAGCAGCAGCTGCGCACTCGTGAGACCCCGCCCCCTAAGCAGCTTCGTGAGTGGTACGCTGCGCGTCAGCGGGGTGGGGGTGCTGGTCCCTGTGCCTACGTCCTGCGTACCGGCGCCCGCACTGGTGAGCCGTGCGGTGGCCCGCACACCACCCAGCGCTGCTTCGGCCGCCTGACGGACGCTTGGCGTCTCCAGTTCCCTGACGCCACTAAGATCCCCCGCTGGGGCGAGCTGCTTAGGTCGGGGGTTGCTATCTTTGATCTGGATTATGATGCTATCCTTGCTGCCATGTATGTTGTGTCTACTAGTGATGAGGGTGACTGTTACCTGTGTGTTCCGCCTGACCCGGGCATTGAGGCTGCTGCTCTAGGTGCTGGTGAGGCTGCTGCTCTAGGCGCTAGTGCTTCTGCTGCCCTAGGTGCTGGTGAGTCTGCTCTCTCAGGTACCACGTCGACTCAGGCCTTACACACCTTCACCCTTGACTCGAGTGCTTCCCGTTCCTTCTTTCGAGACCGCACCACACTCACGCCGCTTAGTCGGCCAGTTGCGGTCTCCCTGGCGGACCCCTCTGGGGGTCCTGTCCTTGCCCACTTCTCCACTGTCCTACCGTGTCCGGCGGCCCCCTCTGGCACCCTGTCAGGTCTTTACCTCCCCTCATTCTCTACGAACTTGGTGAGTGGTGCTGATCTACAGGATGGGGGGGTTGACCAGTTCACTCCTGCGAGTCAGCGGGTGACCCACTGTACGTGTGCTCGGACGGGCCGACACTTGGCCACGTTTACCCGTCAGCCGGGGTCGAGCCTGTACACACTGACTACTGAGTCTCCTCCGTTTGCTGAGTCTGGTCAGGTAGCTGCGTCAGGTCAGGTGTTTGCTGCAGCGTCCAGGTCTGGTCCTGAGTCTGCCCCCTGCTCCTGTCGTCTCCTGTCCCACCGGACCCTCCTCTGGCACCA